ACTCTTTTTGGTAATATTTGTCCATCAAAAGTAATAACAATGGTTTCAGTATTAATAAAACTTGGTTGTCCTTCATTAATGGTCTTTTTCTTAATTCTTCTGGTTTTTAGAATTCTCCCACAACCTATAGGTACTGATATATTTTGGATTACTTCCTCTTCTGTCCAATCTTTAGGAATACCCCTCACAATTCCCATACGGGTTACATGGAAAGAAGGTATAAATGCCTTAAAATTATGTGTTTCTAAGTGACTATTATTTAAAAATGCATTTGCATTTTCAAAATTTGAGAAAGAAAGCGATAAACGGTTTCTTCCTATTCTTTTGAGGCTACCATTCACTATATTATTTATCTTATTAGTGTGTAAAAAGCGACCAAATGCAATAGGATGTAATGTAGTGTTATCATTAGGATGTGTTTCATTTTTTTGTACATGAACGACATAAGGAGCTACATCCTCGGCATTGTACAAAGTTCTGCTTAAAGTACTGGGTGGAGAAGCAGGTTTAACAGACTCGGTATTATTTACAACTGGTATTGATACTAGAGTTTGATTCTCATCCTCAATACATTGACAATCACTATCTTTAATTTTAGATTCGAGACCTTTGGTGTGCCTCCTTCGTTTTTTATTGCAATGTTTGCAAATGCGACGTTCGCCACGTACTCGCTTACGTTTAGAACTTGCAACGCTAGAACCATCTGTGTCCATACTAGATTCACCCAATATATCAAAACTATTATTAAATGGGATAGTTATATTTGCAGACACCTGGGGGGTCGTCCCCCCAGGGTCTATAGGTGGATCCATAATGTCTAATTAATATAGGTAATTTACTTACCAATATTTACAGCAACAAACACTATTACTACAAAATATACAATTATATATACAATCTAATACACAATATATAAATAAAACTAATCCTTATATAATTAAAAATAAAATTAATTTAAAGAAGATCAAAAAACACTCCCGCTTTTTTAAACGTTTCCCGCGCTCTAGAATATACTTACAGATTGGACCCATGGAATTTTTTTTTAGTACGTGTGTTCCGTTGTGGAACAGGCTAAGGTCGGAGACCATGCTGCCTAGTCTTCAATATGATAATTTGTTTGGAATTTTACGGACCCATAGAAATTTAAAATAAAATCTTTTCGTTTTTTTCGTCAGTTTTATTGTGGAACCAAATTCCAAACCAATGCTGCGAGTTATAGACAAGTCCTAGACATAGAAAATCAAGTGTTTTTTTTTTGTAATTATAATAATACATCACTAAACATTATAAAAGAAAGTCAAATTAGCTGACTCGTTTTTTTATTAGTGTTCTATATTCTTACACTTCAACGTAACTTGACATGTCTATATTTAATTAAAATTAGTTTTTGCTTACTAAAATGGAGCAAAAATTATAAGATGAAAAATAGAACTAATAAAGAAATTACTTATAACCGATAAACATCTTCATTTTAAGCATAAATATAATTATAAATGTTCACATTTTTTAAGTATTCGCGCCATTTTTAGTGTTGCACGGATGCGAAAAAATTTCCCATAAGTGAATTAAAATTCCCGAAATGAGATGGACTTTTTTTCAATAAGAATTGAAATATTTTAAATTATGATTTGTATTTTGTGTTGTTATTTTTTTTACTTGATATAAATATAATATTTATCTAGATATGTACATAGAAATATTATTGAGTAGGTATTGTGAAGACTTTGTTATTTGGCCTTATTGCTTTTAAAATCAAAATCCGGCGTCAGAATTAATAAAAATGACTGCTATTTTTATTTTCCTTGTTATTTGACCGATTGCATTCAAAATTTATATCGGATGATCCCTATACACTTCTAATATGAATTTGTTGTTAGAATTAACAATAATGGCCACCATTTTTTTTTTTGTTATTTGACAGACTGCTTTCAAAATCGATATCTGAAGATCCATACACATCTCAAATATGGGTGTGGTGTCAGAATTACTCAAAGTGGCCGCCATTTTTGTTTAATTTTATAAAAGTATTTATTTAAGTAAGGATTAACAAAATAGCATTAAGAAATTAAACTTAAGATAAATAATAAAATTTGTATATATCTTTATTATTTAAAGTTTAAATTTTGCACCTTATATGCTATTCTTCTTCTTTTTATGCTAACCCTATAAATCCTTTTTTCTTTCGAATTCTCGAAGTTGACTGGGAAAAATCTCTTTAAGGGAGGGAGTATGCCTGTGTACATTTTGGTATAACCTAATATCTATATTATAAGTGAATGTACTATAGTATATAAATAAATAAAAAAATACATTTAAATATTTTTTACATTTAGTCAACTTAATTAAATTAATTAACTCATATTTTTCATTCCCATACGTAGATATTTCCAAAATATTGCATAAAATTAAAATGGCCTTCGATTATTTCTAATATCAATACACGTTTTATTAAATCTACAAATATTCTGAGATATTCGTATTTAAAGAAATCGGTTAAGTAAACAGTTTTTGCCGTTACATTTAGTGACATTATTCGTCCATATTTATAGTATACATGAATCTATAAATATTGATTTTCAACTTTCACTTCACAATTTTACTATTTTTTAAAGCAATATAAAAGAATTATGAATTTCCATCTACCGCATTTTTATTTTTTATCTACGTATTATTCTTAATAAATAAATAATATTACCAACTATATAAATAAAGTGAAATATTATAAAAGATTAGTTAATCCTAATATTTTAAGTTACGATCTTCACCTATTTACCTTAATCTAAAGTTATAATTTCTAATCTGGTAACACTGTAGCGTACACAATTGTATAAAAAAGTTGACGCGCTTTTTTTAAGCATTTCTATGGAGACACTCTATTTATATAATGTAAGGTTTAATATTAGATTATAAAGTACAGTGATACTTGATTAAGTGGGACCTGAATAGGTGAGAATCCAACACTTTGGCACGAAATTATCTCTGTTAGTGGGACGAAGCAAACCTCTATATCCGGGATTCGTTCTTTTTATTTTATTTCAACCTTCTACCAAAGACTTATATTACGACATAAAGTAACATTCTGAATCCCAGCGATATAATTGACATTATTAGTCTATATCGTCAATACCTATATTAAAAATAAGTAAATTTTTGTCTTTCTCGATATGGTGTATCAATTTCGATTAAATTAACGACGTCAAGTTACTATTTTAAATCTTTACTAACTATGAGCCAATTTTGATGTCTTTTATTAATGATAAGGGCATACATCTGTATTTGTCGTATTATTTGTGTTTCGGTTTTAAGGGTAGGACATTTTATTTAAATGTCTTTTTTATCACCTAAAGATATGAACAGTACTATGGACATAACATAGTATAATATATCGCCCGTGATACTCTTGATGCGTTTTCAAGTCTGAAGATTAAGCTGTTATGTTTGTACTGTAATTTCACCGTTATATTCCACAAATCCCCTATAAAATATATTATATGTATAATATCTTTTCTACGTACTATTTATTATATGTGTAATGAAGTTAAATAAACAAATATTAACGTTTAAAAATACTAATTGTAAAAAAAAATGTTTTAAAATGTCGAGTTTGATTTACTATCTTATACAGATTTGATTAATCATCTAACAATAGAATGTGCGTGGTGTAGTACTTCTATGCTTACATTTACATTTCACGCACGCTAGTGTAATCACATTTTCGTCTTGTTTTTGTATTTCCATTGCCAGTCTGATTTTTTTTTAGTGGATGATAATGATTTCATTATCATGGTAACCCCGGCTGCTCTATCAGTATACACTGGCAGAGTATACCGATAGAGCAGCCGTTTTTTTTTTTATAGAAGTGAGTACCAGTGAGGTGAGAATGAAGTAGGTCAGTTGGTTCATCGTAGCGAATTTAATATAAATCAATCACGTTGGTTTCCAGGTCGACCTGGTATGGTATATTAATAGCAATAGCAATGAGACGTTTAGATCCCATTACTAGTAATCCTTTTCCACCTTGTCAGTGTTTTCTTTTTTAATGAATGATAATGGAATAGTAACCCCGCCTACGTTATCGGTATACACCGGCGGGGCACCAGTGAAGGCTGATAAGTGAAAATGAAAGAGCAGGTCAGTTAGCCCATCGTGGTAAATACACTTGGAATTCAGCACGATGGTTTCCAGGGGGGACCACGTGGAGGTCAACCTGACGAAGTATACTGTTACCAATGGAGCTTGTAGCCCATATTACTAATAACCCTCCTCCCACCAGTTTTTTTAAAGGGTGATAATGGTATGGTAACCTTGTGCTACATTATTACTGTTTTTTAACAATTAACAACTTTATATAAATTGTTTACGAACGGTTGCCAATGTAAAAAATCATCGAAGTCTTATATAACACGATTTTTTCCTAATCGTTAATAGGTTAAACAGGGTTAAATGTACTATCAGGATAAGGACAAGTATTTTGGCAGTAGTACATAACGCCATTTGCCATTAAGTCATAAACGTTCTTAAATTGCTTTTCAGAGGCAATAACAACGAAAAGTCGCTAATCGTTCTTAGGTAATAAAATTAAAAAAAAAATAAAAGTGACATCTTAATTGATTGAGTTAAAATTCCAGACAAATTATCATACTAAAGACTAGGCAGCATGGATTCCGACCTTAGCCTGTTTTATAACGGAACAAACGTACTAAAAAAAATTAAGAGAGTTAAAAACCTTGAGGTAGAAAGTCTATACAGATGTAGAGACATGCTTTTTTTTATATAAATTAGAATGGCAAACAAACTGACGGCCCACCTGATGGAAAGTGGTAACCGTCGTCTATAGATATGAGTGAGTAGCTTTGTAACTAAAATATAGAATAATCGTAAAATTATTTACGATAGAAGCTCATTTTGTATCTGTATGCACTAAACGCAGATAATATAACCTAAATCTATGGTACTAACGATTGACCAATTGACACCAGATGCTTCAATTGACGTATTTTTGCAGCATTTCTAGTCTATGGCTCAGTAATATTTTTGGTGTAGTGGTTGATTTACCAATTCTTTACAATTATTTCTCGCTAAATATAGGCGGGAAGTTATAGTGTTCTCATTTAAACAACAACAATGAGTGTGGAAGAGGATGTAATGAAAATACAAAAGAAATTAACTAAAATGACTTCAGATGATGGAACGGTACGCCTCGAGTTATAGATAGATGAAAATCAACGAAGACCCCTTCACCAAACATATTAACGGATAACAAAATAACTATTTACTTCTTATAAGAAGTAGTATAATTTAGTAGTTTGATAAATGACTCATTGCTTATATAAATTTTATTTCTATAAGTATTGTTTTTGTTATTCATATATAAATATTAATTAGCACGCGGCAACAGGTCTAAATTATATATAAACAATGTAGAGTTTGTAATCATAAATTTTTGCTATTGACTAGTTTCCTCTATAAAATATGTTTGTTTTAGGGACAAGACGAAGCATTGGAACTTTTAAAAACACTTCAAACTATGGCAATAAATTTAGATGTCTTAACGAAAACCAGAATAGGTATGACAGTAAACGCTTTACGTAAATCCAGTAAGGATGAAGAAGTAATATCTTTATGTAAAACTCTGATTAAAAACTGGAAAAAGTTTCTTTCAACACCCAGTACTCCTTCTAAGGATAATGGAAGTTCGTCGAAATCTAAAAAGGAGAGTAAAGATAAGGAGAAAAAAGACGAAAAAGAAAAAGATAAAAAGCTGCCGGCCTCATTTCCACCTCAGTCGAACACAACTGATGCCATACGCCTTAAGTGTCGAGAACTTCTCACACAGGCTCTCAAAACTGACGGAGACAATCCTAATTCTTGTGGATCACCTGAAGAACTTGCTGAGGAGCTTGAGGAATGCATTTATGCTGAATTTAAAAACACGGACATGAGATACAAAAATAGGGTACGATCAAGAGTTGCTAATTTAAAAGATCCTAAGAATCCGACATTGCGCACCAATTTCTTGAATGGTGTTGTGTCAGCATCACGATTAGCCAAAATGACACCTGAGGAGATGGCTAGTGATGAAATGAAGAAACTGAGGGAGAAGTTCATTAAAGAAGCGATTGATGATGCTCAACTTGCTACAGTACAGGGTACTAAAACTGATATGCTAAAATGTGGTAAGTGCAAAAAGAAGAACTGCACTTATAACCAACTACAGACGAGGAGTTCTGATGAGCCTATGACAACATTTGTTCTCTGCAATGAATGTGGTAATCGTTGGAAGTTCTGTTAAGACTGTGTTGGGAAATCTTTAGAAAATATGACGTGTCTGTTATGTTAATAACATGATACACAGCAAAGCGTCAAGTATAATTATTATACTAATATTTCACTCTGAGTTATACTTAGTTCTTGCTATATTCATTGCATTGACCTTACTACTAAGAATGGAATCATGTCGGGTAGATAAGGTAATTTTAGTTTTAATGAAATAAATTATCTGCTTTAAGTGAAAATCATAAGTTTTATTTTTAACATGCCTTTAATATTGCCATTTTTTTTATATCAAGTAATAAATTTATTTTGCACATATATCAAACATACTCATTTTCCAAGATTAAGAAGAAAGCATTTAAATGTTTCTATACAATCATGTCTATAATTAAAATTTAAGATTTCATTAATTTATATTGCATTTGTATACTAAGTAGGTATAACAGGGTAAAAGATCAATGAAAATACCATTGTTCGATTATATTTATATTTATTTGTCAATTTATTTTCATAATCTTAACAGGAATGTGTCCTCTTAGGATTAATTATAATATAAAAATTTACACAGGGTCTCTGGTCCTGTTTTATATTCCACAACTTGAAATATTAACTTTAAATTTATTTAGATTATGATGTAAAATTAAAGGAAACACCATATTACGCCATTTATTGTATTAGGTACCATAGTAGTTATATATCTGATAACTTTATTGTCTGGTCATTACAAGCTTTATGAATGTGGAAGTTATATTTTTATCACTCTAAAATACATTGATTTTTAATTTCACCTCTTAGCATGCATATCATAGCGTAAATATTAAACAAACAATGTACCAAATTCATAAATTTTCTATAGGTAATTTTTTATGGAAATTATGTTAATTGTTAATAAAGTAGAAACGATTCATAATGGTAACACAAATTTTGTTTCTTATACTTTCTAAAATTTAAGACTAGCTTCATACAAATAGGTACATGAATAAAGAAGTGGATATATATCTTTATGAAAGATACAAATAGATAGTCAACTTAATGCAATTTTATGGCTTCCTCTTTAAATAATATTTAACATTTAAAAAATACTAATATATCCAAATGATTTTAAGTTCGTAAGATTAAATATGTACCTACCACAGAAAGTTAAAAGTAATTTTCAATAGATTCCTGGATTATCAGGATTATTTTTCTGGATGCTCATAATATAATCAACAATCATATATTGGAGCTTAATATTAACATCAAGAGTACCAATTTGTACCTTACATGGTTTATTTCTACCTATTACAAATACAATCATTTGATATCTCAAAAATGTCCAGGACCGTTTCAAGTACAATCTAATATGGCAAGCTACACTTTGGTGAATAACAACTGTCGTATTCTTTTTTATTTTTGGCTTAAACTAGAAATATGTTGTGGTTCACTAAAACATAGAAATTATATCTAATTTACCCAGATTTATTCTGCAAAAACTTCTCCAGTTTTTATTTTTACAAATATTTTTTCTTCATTGGACACATCAATTTTGTGTTTTAAATCTAGCTTGAGATCAGAAGATATATTTTCATCGTCCACTTTTGTAATAGTAAAACTTACGCCTTCATTGGCCACAAAGCATTCTGGAGTTAAAGTTTTTTGATAATTAAAATGAGTTTTCAGATGTTCGCGGAGGAAGTGTGACTGAACTACAACTAAATCGCAGTAGGAACACTTATGGCTCCCTGCATTAAGAATGTCACTATCATCATGTCTTCTGTAATGATTTGTTAAGGCATCTTGTCTCTGATTCGTATATGGGCATAATAAGCACATATGCAACTTCCGATCTTTAGTTGGTGCCGTTTCACTTGGGTTTGAATCTTTTCCAGCGCTATTAATGGAGCGTCTGCGCTGTAGTAGTCGTAGAGTTTGTTGGTCACTTATTGAGAATTGCTGAAAATCGCTTCTGGCTGTTCCTTTTGGCATCGTTTTAATGGCTAATTTAATATTATCACCACTGTCGTCCTGTTTATCTTCATGACTTCCTCCTTCATTAAAATCATGATTGCCTTTTTTTCTTTCTGCTTGGGCTTCATCATTCATTTGATGTTTTCTCATATGCTGAACATAATTAGCATAATATTTTACAGAATAATCGCAAAGTTCACATTTATACCTTTGTTTCGAACCATGTAAAGATAAATGAATTTTATATTGTTCTCTCTTTTCAAAAGCTGAAGGACATTTATGGCACTTATAGCGTTTTTCTTTTTGACGACCATTCTTTAAATAAGTTGGATATATAAATTCTGGATTACCATGCATCAAGTAACCAAATTGTGGATCCGCCTGAAGTACAGGTGGGAAGTGATCATTTGGTTTAACTAATTTATCTTTATCTATTAAAACCCTTTTCTGGGCCTCTGTTTTTCTTTGAAATAAATCAGTTCCAGATAATGGAATATTCTTGTAATCCATATCTTCACTAGACTCGTAGTCACAAGTTGGTATTTTATTTTCAGCCTTATGAAGCCATTCATGTTTCGCCAAATTTCCTATACTTTTAACTGCGTAATTGCATTTTTTGCATTTATGTTCCCCATCACCACCGTGTAATCCCATGTGATAGCTTAATGCGGAACTTTTGAAAAATTTCGCTGGGCATTCTTTACATAAGTACTGTTTTGGTTCATTTATTTTTTTATTATTAGATATATTGTCATGTTCTTTATCGGAATCCGAAACTACCCATGTTATTTCTGATGTTGTTGCACAGTGAATTAATTTTAATTGAGGTTGTGAATAAGCTGCATGTGAATTGTGCATAAATTTTAACATTTTCGTTTTTGTATGATATTCGTCTGAATGGACAAAAGTGTGTGAAGTTAACTCACTTTCCTCAGGGGCAGAAAAATCGCAACTTTTACATGTGTTTGGAAATGATGATTCATGAAATTTATCATGATTTTTTAAGTCATCGTATGAAAAGAATCTAGATGGACACTTTTGACAAAAATATAACATTTTGACTTCCTTACTTCCATTGGATATGTCGTCTTCCTTTATAAAGTCTTTTGTGGGTGCTGTTTGTTCAGCTTCAATTACTTTTCGCAGTTTTTCAATTTGCTCGTCGTCTGGTATATCCAACTCAACAGGACAACAAATGCGCCCATATATTTCACCATGTGTTTTAGAATGTTCGGCTAATTTAATTGCATTATCACATATAAATTTACACTCCAAGCATTTGTATACTGTTATTTCACTATTTTCAAAAATAATGCAGTGTATTTTTTCATGGTAGGGTATTTTGCATTTTTGCGAATTTACATATGAACAATAACGGCACTTGTACATTTTATGGAACATATTTTTTGCCGATACCCATACATAAGGTATTTCCTCTAGAGGTACATATGCGTCCGTTTTATCTTCTGTTCTACTAGAATTGGTTGACATTGCTTCCAGTTCTGCTTCTGATTCTGACTTCTTTGTGAGAATACCATGAACTCTTAAATGTTGATGTAATAAATGCCTTTTAGAAACACTGTAGTTACATTGCGGACATTTATATGGCGTGTCAGCTGGAAGTCTGTGAAATTGTTCGTGATACATAAACTGTGATTTGCTATTTGTTTCGTACGGACATTCTGTACATCTGTGTCGTTTCGTTGAATTTGGGGTTGATGTAGCCCCTTGTAGTTCTGGCAATGGCGATTTACATCCCATTGCTTTAGAGATATATTCTTCTGGTTCTGTTACACCGTGCAGTAGTAAATGTTGGACTAATTCTTGTTCATCCTTAACAAAGAAAGGACAAAAGTAGCATTTGAATATAGACTGAGCAGAAGGTTGATGTTGTTGTAAATGCGCTGCGAGCATTTTTTTATCGTTTGTTTTAAAAGGACACTTAGTGCACGTGTCATTGGTGATATCATTTGTTGATGTTGTATCCGATTTTGGTTTAATTGTTGTGATGACTCTTATCACTCCATCGTGCTTCAATCGACAATGCCTCTGAAATTAAGAACAAAAATCATACTTTGAAATCTTTTAACGGCCCAAATGAGAGGGTAAGCGCGGAAAATAGAGTCCTATTCACATTATATTACACAATCTTTTAAAAACAGGACATATATCTTGTGCAATTTATATGCCAGTTATTAAAACAATTTTATTATATATTTAATTAAGATTATAATTAAAGTGTATTTATTTAAAAAGAAATCATGAAAGACTACCTCGGTAGTCAATAAAAGAAGCTAAAGCATGAGAAAAATACAAGACATGGATGAAGTAATTATCCTGTCTAACTACAGAAAGAAGAAAGAAACTGAGTTTTAGTTACATGGCAATATATGAGCATAAACTATCAAAAACTTGCGAAAAATAACCGTCAGTTTGTTATTAACTGTCGCATCCTCTATGGTTACACTTACATCAGTTGTACATGCGGAAAGTACAGATGTAAAAATAGACTTCACACACAGTGTCCGGGTTCTCAGATAATCGTGCGCTTGGGAGTTATTATTTATATTTTGAATATTTGACATGCTCAAGCTATGGAATAATATGACGGTGCATTTAATTATTCGTTATGTTCACGATATCGACTTGAAGATATTGTCGATGAAAAATAAAGTGTTCATACAGTTACATATATTTTATTTAAAAATACATAAAAAAAAGTACCTGTATAACGTGTTTCCAATTAGATAACTGATTGCAGTGTCCACAGCGATATGCGAGATCTGCTGGATCTGGAAGATTATCTGGTTTCTTCATCAATTTTGATTCTTCAGAATTTCCGTCAGCTTTAGAATGTTCCCGGACATGATCCAATAAAGCTTCTTTAGATGGATCTCTGAAATATTATTACATAACATGTTACAATCAAATTCAATTATCGATCAAATTAAGTATTTAAAGCTAAATATATGAGAAGTGCAATATAACTATACAGCTATATACCAAAGGGAGGAATAACTATGCTGCTACCAGAGGGAGACTTTGTACGAAAGTCGATTGCTTGGGTACCTGTCTTATTCGTGTTTCAACCGCAAAGCAGTTGTGTTTGCATGGCTGTGTTTCGGTTTGAAGGGTGGGATATGGCGTGAATTTACTGGGTACGGAGGAATAACGTCTGAATCCTCAGGAATAGTAACGCATTGGGGGTATCATGGGTGAAACAGTATACTCTGGTATGTCCATGGTACTGCTCATGTCTATAGGCGACGGTTACCACTTTCCATCAGGTGGGCCGTCAGCTTGTTTGCCATTCTAAGTTGTATATATATATATATATACATAAAATAATATTATTCTTAATTTTGTGTATAATATAGTATATGTCATATATGTTTAAGTATATTTGTTATTTATATATTAATATGTTCTAATTATATGATATTGTGCAATAAAACGTGCTGTGTAGCTTGAATCAGTTTATGTCATGTTGGAACATGTTCTACCTACATTAGTACACTTTATTATTTAACAAAGTATAAAAGTACCCACATCAATATACATGACATACCTCCCCTCTAAGATAGTTAAATCAATTATAAATATAGAAAGATATTATGATTACATTTTAGACATATATAATACTAATATAAAAATATAATGACACTTAGAATAAGTACAGATTGTCTTTAAGATCTTGTGGTCTCTCATAAGGAGTTTTAGAATGCACATTTAACTTATTTTTTATTTTGCCTGTAGCTGGCGTAGCCAATTCAGAAGTTGGTGGGATTCCCAATATCTCAACCCATTTTTCAGAATCTGGTATTTCAATAATCCTCTCAGACTCTTGGCTGTTACTTTCCTGTTGTTCTTGTTGATGGTTCTTAACATTATTATCTGTGTTATTGGAAACTTCCAATGATTCAGATGTACCAGCAATTCCTTCTTCTCCTTCCTCCTTTCTTGATCTGTATCTAATCAACTGATCAATATGACGATTGATTGCTTTACCATTAGCTGTCTCAATTTTATAATTAGACGGTCCATTCTTCTGTAATACTACGCCTGGTAACCATTTGGGGCCTTGATTGTTGTAATTTCTGTACATTATCTTTTGTCCCTCATTAGTTTCTCTGTGTGATTTATGTTGATTGTGGTCAATCTGCCACTCTGTTTTTTTATGTTTCAAACTGTCTGGATGAATTGTATCCAGCAATGTCCTCAAATGTCTGTTCATTAATAGTTCAGCTGGACTTTTATTCGTAGCTGAGCACGGAGTGACACGCAGACCTAATAACAAATTTGGAATTCTAATGTCCCAGGATAAATGATCCATTTTTTTTAGTTTATCTTTAACTGTCTGGACCATTCGTTCCGCTAAACCATTGGTCGCTGGATGATAAGGTGCAGTAGTAACGTGACGTATATTATTTGCCTGCAGAAATTCCTTAATTTCGCCTGATACAAATGATGTGCCATTATCAGACACTAAAACTTCACAAAGGCCATGGGTTGCAAAAGTCGTTCTAAGCAACCGAATCACAGTGGTCGTTGTTGTATTGTTCACCATAAACACTTCTGGCCAACGAGAATATGCATCGACTATAATTAGAAAATATTTATTGTGATATGGCCCCGCAAAGTCTATATGAATTCTTGACCATGGCCTTGAAGGTGTGATCCATTCATGTGTAGTTTTAGGAGGCATATGTCGATTTTCAAGGCACTTGGTACAACCACTCACTAGTGATTCTATGTCTTCGTTTAAGTGTGGCCACCACACATAGCTTCTGGCCAGTGCTTTGGTTTGGACAATACCTGTATGTGTTTTATGTAACATTCGTAGAGTTGCAGGACGGAGAGTACTAGGTACTACAACCCGACATCCTAGTAGAATACAATTTTCTTGCAGTGACAGCTCTGTGCGATGTAACCAGAATGGGCGTATATCTGCATCAGTTTCTTTAGCTGGCCACCCACGTTGTATATAATAACTAACTTTTGACAAGATTTTATCTCTATTCGTCTCCCTGGCTATGTGCTCTGAATTGTATGGAAAATCTTCTGGTGTTTCAGCCATTAAAAGTACTTCTCCCAGCTGATGTTGAGGTTCCCACGGTACTGGCTGTGGCCATCGGCTTAAACAATCTGCATTACCTATTTCAGGACCTGGCTTATATTTTATCTCATAGTCGTGAGATGTCAAAGCAATTGCTATTCTAGTTAAACGAGGTGAAATCATATTAGGCATAGGCTTTTTAGGATTAAATATACCGAGCAATGGTTTATGATCAGTTATTATAGAGAATTTTCTTCCTGTGAGGTAATTTTGAAATTTGGTTATCCCAAACATAATTGAAGTAGCTTCTTTATCCAGCTGTGAATAACGCCGCTCATGAGGATGTAAAGTTCTGGATGCCATTGCTATAGGAAATTCGTCATTATCCTTTACATGTGACAATACTGCTCCAACGCCATATTCTGAACTATCACAAGTAAGTATTATAGGTTTAGTTATATCATAGTGCACTAGTGTTAAATCAAAAGTCAATAATCGCTTAGCCGTGTCAAACGCGTTTTGTTCTTGTTCTGTCCATTTCCACTCCTGACGTGTGTCTAATAAACGATGCAATGGCTCTAGTAGCGTCGCTTTATGAGGTATGAACCTCTCATAAAAATTATAGAGACCGAGGAAAGCTTGTAGTTCTCGTTTGTTTTTAGGTTTAGGGGTGTTAGTAATGGATTCTACTTTGCTTGGTGCTGGATGGATACCCTTAGCATCTATAACAAAACCTAGAAACTCAACTCTTTCTTGAGCGAACCTGCATTTATTTTTATTCAATCGAAGTCCTGCACGTTCGATTCGCCCAAGTACCTTATCAAGTCTTTCTTGCATTTCCAGCAAAGTATGGCCACAGACGATTATGTCATCAATTAGAACTGCAACACCGGCGATGCCACCCAACAAAGATGTCATTAATCGTTGAAAAATTCCAGGACATGCCTTAACTCCGAAAGCGAGGCGATGTACGGTATACAGACCCTTGCAGGTATTCAAAGTTAAGAGTTTAGATGTTTCATCGTCTACGGTAACTTGTGTGTATGCTCTATCCAAATCTAAAGTTGTAAAATAATTTTCCACCCGCGACCGCAGCAAAGACTTCATTTGCTGTGGGCATAGGATAGGTATCTGACTCGGTGGCTTCATTAACAGTACTGCGGTAATCTCCACACAATCTTATTTCTCCTGACTTTTTTATTATTGGCACTACTGGTGTAGCCCATTCAGAAAAGGATGTTTGGCGTAATACTCCTTCATTTTCTAATCTATCAATCTCCATTTCTATTCTTTGTTTTAAAGCAAATGGTACTTGACGAGCCTTAAGGAACTTTGGAGTTGCCCCTGGCTTTATGTGTATAGTAACTGGTTGTCCGCGGTAGGTACCGAGTCCATCTTTGAAAACTTCTTTATGTTTAGATAATATCGTGTCTATTCCATTTTGTTCAGTATTTGACACAAAATTGATATTCATAGTCAAGTTCAGAGGAGCGAGCCAATCTCGACCGAGTAGGTTCGGTCCTTTACCTTTGGCTACAATCACACACAAGTTTTTTGCGATGTTTCTATAACGCACTGGTAGTGTAACTTGGCCAAGTAGTTGGACTGGAGTCTCTGTCCATGTGCGTAGGATTAGTGAAGTAGGCTGTAGTGCATTTTGTGGCATCTGTTTATGTATTGTATGCCATGTTTGCTCATTTACTATAGAATAACTTGCTCCTGTATCCACTTGCATACAAACTGGAATTCCAGCAAGGAATGGCATCACTTCCAATGGCGGTGTGCGACCCATATTTGATATACAATAGATTCCATTTAAACAATCATTTGTTTCTTCCGTAAAATTTACATTATTATGTTTATTCTTCTTTTTACTAATACAAATTTTCTCCAGGTGCCCTTTTTTCTTACAGTATCGACAAATAGCATTTAAAAATCGACACTCTCCATTATGACGGTCGCCACAACGATAACAAAAACGAATGGACGCTCTTGACTGAACTGCATTAATATCCATCGGCTCTGAACCCGACGGTGATGTAGTGTAAGTCGTTCGAGAGAGGACAGGCGCGACAGTAGTATCTGCGGTCACGCTGGCAGATACTTGAATCATGCGGACATCCCGTCCCGCACTTTCTGATGATAGCATAGCATCCACTACATCTTGATAACGTAACTTATCTCGTTTTAAAAGTTCATACTGTAACCGTCCGTCACGCATACCACATACGAGCCGGTCGCGAAGCATTCGCTCTAAGTCAACGAAATTGCAGCCAGAGCTAAGTTTTCTTAATTGAGCTATATAGTCTGCCGCAGATTCATCATGTTTTTGATCACGTTTATAAAACTGGAACGACACTGATATTTCATTTGCTCTTGGACTGTAGTGTTTAGTCAAAACAATTTCTATTTCATTGAATGTCACTTCGCTAGCTTTTCTGGGTGTGATTAATGCCAATAAAGTTTCAAACACCCGCGAACCACACACTGTGAAGAAGTTAGCTCTTTTAGACGAGTCTGTTATGACGCCATTAGCCTCGAAACAAAATTTTAAACGGTCAAAATAAATGTCCCAATTGTCTGTTTGCGGATTAAACTCATCGAATTTCACTGCTTTTACGTCCATTTTATTACTTTTTACACTTCGTCGCCACTAATATGTTCTAATTATATGATATTGTGCAATAAAACGTGCTGTGTAGCTTGAATCAGTTTATGTCATGTTGGAACATGTTCTACCTACATTAGTACACTTTATTATTTAACAAAGTATAAAAGTACCCACATCAATATACATGACATATATATCTATTCGTTTATATATATAATTTTAGTATGTATGTATATCAATAATTACTAGTACCGCATTCGAGTATTCTGACCCTTCCCTATGATTAACTGGGAGAGAATGCTTTTAGTATTAAGTCCGCCATGTACACATATATGTACTAATGAATAAATATTTCATTAAATCGGTTAAGTGTTTCCAGGTATTATCGTAAACGAATATAACACAGGATTTTTATATATTAAAATATTTCTGATATTTGAGCTTTGAAAAACATCATAATATATAACACAATATAGTCTCAATCGTAATGAGAGGCAAGAGCTCCATTGACAAGAGCGCAGTTCTTAAATGTGAATAAAATGAATAGTCTCATAATATTTTTAACATGAAACTAAAACAATAGACCACCATTTAAATAAAAAATATGTTTTAAGTACAAATTATTTAAAGGATATTTGATTTTCTATGATTTGCAATTGATTGTTAATATAAATATGAATTTTAAAACTGAGCTTACCTGTAATTGCATTTTTTACATTTCCACATGGTTTTCTTTGGTTTCTTAGAGTCAGAAATTTTACTATCAATAGATTGTAATCTTTGATCCCCGTGTTGTGTTTGTAAATTGAGAGGTTGCATATCTAATGACACAGAACCATTCATATTCTCAGAACCATCATTAAAGCTTTCGTCGACATCCATAGACGGGTCAGTTAAAGCATTAATATCTAAATAATGAAATTCATTCTCGCCATTTTCATTCAGAATTGACATGGCTAAAAACTTATTATACTTGCTATAGTTTCTTCTACCTGTTTCGTCAGTCATAAGCACTTTTGCTTCGTTATGCTCAGGATCTCTAGCTGACTTTAATTTAATGTGTTTAGTAATATCCCATCTCCAATTCGACTTATATTTGCACAGGGAACATTCAAATGGCTTTTTGTTTAAATGCCCTACGATATGAACATGAAATCTGGACGCAGTTGAAGCCCAAAATTCACAATGTGGGCATTTAAATACTTTTTTGCCAACAGCTTGACTTGGTGACAAATTCATACCTTCATTATCATCCACGATCTCAGTATCATAGTTTCTATTTGGTTCTGGTAGAGTAGAATCATCATTGATATTAATGCCAAGTGGTGTATCAAACTTGTTAGGATCATGATTTATATTATTCCATACGAATACAACATTTTCCATTGGATGTGGTTCAGCATCTTTTTCTTGGGTAGATATTGTAGTTTGACTGTCTTCTTTATTTTTAATATCCATAAACTGTTCATCTCTCTTTTGATTTTTTCTGCATGTTTGCATGTGGATGTACAGATCAGCACTTGATTTGCACCTATGCCTGCAATTTTGGCATCGTGTTGAGCCCAGGGTTGAATGTAGCGTATTTGTTGCTATGCGGTTTAATTGCGAAGAACAATTTTTTTCGTGTACTGAATGTTCAGATAAACATTTGCTTTCGAAACCACAATTTTTACATATAAGCGAGCCTTCTTCCCCTGTTTCTGCAAGCAATCTTTCCTTTAATTTGTCAAAGAAGGATTCATTTTTTTTACGCACTATAGTGTCCTTTGTAGCTGTTGATGTATTTGTTACAGGTATCAATGTGATATCTGCTGGTAGATTTTCAAATTTACTGCTAACGGAATCATTTGATTCTGTTGCTGATTCTTTAAATTTTTTTGCAGGTGGTTCCCCACTGCAGGCTTTGCTCTGATTTGGTGTCGATGAGTTTAATGGTATCAGTTGGGGTATTGGTCTGGGAATTTTTCTGCTTTGTTTTTGATATTTAGCTTCATCTGTAGCAGCATCAGGTGAATGTTGATTTTGTACATCTTCTATATCCCTTTTGACAGTCATTTCAGTATCATTAGAGTCACTATTGCAGCTTATCATTTCTTTCTCTGCATACTGTAATAGGTCCTGAAATAAAAGAAAAGATACATTATAAATAAATATGTACTTTCATTTCGAAATATGTACACAAAGTAGTTGGTTGTATCTACTTTACAAAAGGTAATTTTACGGTTATAATTTATGTTAAAATATGAAATAACCGTAGAAATAGAAGAAGAAGTCCCTTACACAGGAAGTACATAATATATTGTGTAATGTTTAATAACAATTATTGAATCTATTTGAAGTTGAATAAATCAGAGAAATAATATAATTTGAAATAAATGGATTTAAGAAAACAATTGTAAGAACTACATTTATGAAGTTACTTTTCTTAATACAATCTTTTTATTAAGATCTTTTTTTCTGTAAGTTTAGAAATTTTAATAACAAAAATGAACAATGAAATTTATTCGAAGCTAAATTGATTTTATTTGTTTAATATGAATCTGTAATAATATTCGATGTGATTAAGTTTATATTTAATTGGGGATTATGCCATGTAATTCGTTCAACCGATTTACATTAATTTATAAGTTGGGCTATTAGGATTAATTAATGAAGTAACGTTATGAAATTTTCTTAAAATTAACAAACTAGCATCAATTTTAAAGCGCATTTTTTCTAAACCTATCTATAAAATTGATATTTAATTTAATATATAAGTTTCACAAAATTTCTGCTTTATGGACTATCATAAACTAAATCTATAATAATTTATTTCATATTAGTCTTTAGAATAAAGGTTGTGCTGTGACATTAAATTGAAAATTGAATTTTAGAAAAAAAATAGGTCTTTAAATCGGCCCCAATGTCGTATTATACTCAAAGTTATACTACATCTATGGTTGTAACAAACAGAAATCAAATCTAAAAAAAAAAGTTGATTGCATTATTTTTAGCTACTCCAGCTAATTTTCTTAAAAAATCTTATTGTATTGACGTAATGTATTGAATGAATGAAAATCTTAATTGTTTTTTCCGTAAAAGAATGATACAGATTATAAAGATAAACAATATACACACAAACAAAACAAATAATTAATTACATAAAAGCAAGATAAAGAGGCAACAATGAGCGGCCTTATCGTTTAATAGCAATCTCTTCCAGACAACCTTAAGATGTAGACGAATAATTCAAATTGTGTCTGGCTTGACCAGAACGTAACAGAAAAATAATAAGACTTTAAAAAGGAGAAAAAAATGGCTAAACATAAATTTAAACGCAGCATAAATATTTTATAAAATATACCATAAAATAGTGTGAAAAAAAAAATTACTATACATTTTTGTTCTTTGTATTAAAGTACTTAAATATTTATTACGTACTAGCTTTTACCCGGGACTTTGTCACGTGATCGAGATAAAAAGTAGCCTTCCTTTCATCCCATATAGTACATGTATATCCAATTTCATAATGATTGGTTAAGCCGTTAAGGCACTATAAATTAACAAAAAACTCACTTTTACATCAAACAATCAATACATACAATAAAATCATAACTGATGGCTGTCTGCACATGGAAGATATGTAAGAAAAACTATGATAGGGGGCTTTATGAACGCAACAGAATCTAAAGTAATGATTAAGTTTGTCTGTACGTTTATGCATGCTAATCTCAGAAAGGGCTTAACCGATTTGAATGCGGTTTTCACTATTGCTTTTTATTTTGCTCCACTTAACATTTAGTGTTTGTTTTATTTCAATTGATTAATAAATAAAAAAGTTATATCCATCTAAAGAATCACATATGAAATGCTATAAAGAAACCAATCAGTTGAATTGGCTGAAACATTTTTATTATATAAGTATATAGATTTTCGAAAATTCTATCTACTTGTACGAAGCCGGGCCGGATCTGTAGTTTATAATATTAATATTATTATGACACGAGTGTGTGCACATTATAAGTCAGGATATTGTAAATTATTTTTAATTTAATTTTAACGTCGTTTATGTATAAGATACATACATAAGTTCAGAGGAATTTAGTAAATCGATCGATCGAGAATTGAACCCGTGACTACATATAAACAAACACGGTGTCTTACCTCCGCATTACTGAGGTTGTTATTATTTTCTTCAGTTTTTAAACTACTATGAGTACTTTAAAAACTGATGTTATCTATCTTAATTATATAGAACTTTAGTTTAAATCGAAATAAGCATATGTACTGCGTAATTACTGTTACATACTTAATACTTTTTATCAGAATATTTTTAATAAGATATTGTACGTTAAAATTTGGATGATAGGTAAACAGATGTTACGTACATTCCAGTAGACATCTAGTGCAAAAATCCGAACTACAATAATAATAAAATAGTATGTTCGTGCACTATATGTACGTAGATAGGTAAGTATTTGAAACTTTTTCTGATCACAAGTATCTAATTAAAAACCAGCAAAGTATAATAAATGTAACATTTAGACTTTAGCCATGCAATATAAGCAACACGACATCGATATACACAACGTAGGTAAGCACGTAATAAGAGGGTGCGATGCGAGGGGCCAAGCGGAGCGCATTGCGACCGGCGACCGCGTACAGCGAGTCGCAGAGCCATCCGTGATAACAGCGGCAGACGTGTGACGTCACCGGGCTCTGCCGACCGCCCCCGGGCGCGGCCCGCGGCCCCTCACTATCGTGTTATGCACGGCGACACTCACCGAGGCCGAGTGTGAGGATCGTGAGTCGCCACTCCCTTCTTCCTCCTTGGTGATAAACATTGATATGTTGTCAACCGGTACGTCGCTGGCGCCCACCCGATTGCGGCGACGAATTACCACCGATTGGCCTACGGGCGGAGTGTGGTGATTCATCTCATGTACTGTCAGACTTTGCTTAATGTCCGCTGTAAAGTTGCACATAAAGCAGGTGAAGCTGCCACTACCTCCGTGGTTCTTCATATGACGATCCAAATTCCATTTATATGGGGTACGAAAATCGCATATAGCACATTTAATCATTGGCATGGAATGGTATTTTACGTGCTTAGTAAATCTCGCTCTTATGTGTGTAACATAATTGCATTTAACGCATGAGAAATATTTATTCTTGTTTTTTGTTGCATCCGATTGATTTATATTATTTGACGATGATCTGTCACCTTCGACTTCAGCGTCTGTGGTCCGTGTAAATGTCTCTTCATTGCAGTCTTCGCCTTCCATATCGGCATCTTCACACTCCTCTACTTCTTCAAGCAAGTCTTCAATTCGCTCTAAAGGTTCAGTTGTGTCTGAAATTGGTGGCTGCACCTCCTCCACCTTATCGTTTGACGCCGAATTAGGCGCTACGTGTACCATTTTTATATGTCTTGAAAGTTTCTGATGATGCCTAGAAGCGTAAACACAATGTGGACAATCGTATATCTTAATTTTTTCAAAGTGAACGTCCCGTATGTGCACAAGATACGCTCGTGGATTCTGAGTGTAGAACGTGCACTTGGCGCAGTTATAATTTCTCCTTATTTTACACTGCGGCAACTCTGATTCTTCCGCAGCGTCCGAAGAGGCCTCTGAAGAGACGTCGCCGTTCAAGCGACCTTCGAAGGGGCGCACAAGAGACACGACCTCGCCGACTTGCGCGCTCGGCGGCGAGGACATCTGCTGTAGCATTCTCCACTGTAACAAAACAATGTTCGATGTCGGTTAAACTTTCCGGGAGGGCGCGCGGCGAGGGGTACGGATCGCGGCGGTCACGATAGCGCAGAGCGGTGCAATGGACACGTGTGCGTTGCGCGAGAGCGCCGGCTGAATGAGATGGGTCGTACGTAGTCGGCAAGCAGGCAGGCAGGCGACCGACAAACGCCGGTGGCGGCTGGCGTTTGGGCCCGAGGGCGCGTGGGTGCGGGACGGGCGGAGGGTCCTATGTCATGCTTCTATGTTTTTCATCCTCCTCGACGACGACGGTTAGGGGAGTTGATGGCGCAGCGAGCGACATCCACTTTGTTACGGCCTAATGAAATTTGGTGCCTACCACTCATCTGTACGCGTCCTAAGCCCCTAGACTAGAAGCTCTTTTTAATAATACGAATATCTATTTCCAATACTATTGTGCTAAGAAATACGAGAGTATAGCTTTCAATAATATTTCTATAGGTATAAAGGAACTTCCATTAAATAAATTGAAAATTAAATTACTTAAAAAACCTTTTACTTGGTAGACATTTTTTTTTAAAAGGATAGATAAATATCTAGTATAATTGATTAATAAGTTCCTACCAAAATGTGACATTTGCATGCTATTCTGTAGACTATCGGCACCTACCCTATTTACAGAAAATAAATTTAATATTATATAAGCTCTACTTACTGTCTAAAATATATAGAGCAATCAGAAATTCACATTTTTATAAATATAAGTTGTAGAAATACATTTGTACATATAAATAGTCAAATAGGGCTATTAGCTAATACTTAAAACTACAATTAATGTAATGAATAGTATTTATTGCTTGTGTCTATAGTAAGTTTACAACACAGTGGAAACAATAAAGAGTAACTATTTATCTATCTATTGCTAATGATAGCTAAGTATAGTAAATGCGCTTCATACATATTGCAGAAGTTAAAAAAATTGTAAAGATCTCATACGAAATTAATTAATTCAATGGAAAAAACAAACTACTGAGGATTTATCAATTTCTACAGTAGGTAGGTAGGTAGGAGACCGACAGACGGACTCCACCAACGTAATATACGTAACTTATGAAATTAATAAAGATTGTTAACAGAGGTAAATATTTGTTTATGGGATGACAAAGGAATGGTAATCCTGTGTGTGCTATCGGTATATACTGGCGGGATATCATTGAGGCCAACTAACCAGCTTTCATTTTCACCTATCATCAGGTCAGAACAAAAACTGGCCACTAGGTACATCGTGACGAATTGAACAATAAATCAGTTATAATAGTTTACAAGGGGAACCGTGTGGAGGTCGACCTGATAGGGTATATTGATAGATTAGAGATGCCAATACCCATTACTAACACTCCCTTTCCCCCTTAACAGTACATCATTATATCTAAGTACATATATTATTATTATAATTAGCATCAAGCGGGCTATTTGTTACGTGCTCTTTCACTATAGGCTAAAACTGTTTATAAATATTAGATATAAGAATGTTAATTTTATTTATTTTTATATTTAGTATGTATGTAATTCATAGAAATGTAATTAATTGTACTATCGTTGAGTAGCGCAGGTTACATTTCCCACGGAAAGCGAAAATAAGGATTAAGCACAGGCGAAATTCTTGAAAATACTTAATGCAACAATTTTGATGATATTACGCAAGTACTGGATGTACTTATTTATAGCTATTATTATTTGAAAGACGATTAATTAGTTATCTAAAAATGTAGGTTATAGTCTCTATTACTAAACAGACAAGGTTGAAATTTCCTTATTTTTTATATTAAATGTAAACGATCATGAACTTATTAAATCATTAGTTATAAGCGTTGATGTCTTTTATAATAGAATATTAATGCTTTGTTAATTCGGTGATTATATTTTGATATACATACCAAATATAAGATTAAACTGCATTAAACTACAGTATTTAGATGTAGATATGTATTAAGTATGGGTAATATCGGTACCACTACGAGATCTATATACTAAGTTTGGATATTTTGGCGGAAAAAAAGCCCTCGGCCATTTCAATAACGCCCATAGCAGTCAGATATATATGTACGTTCATTTCTCTCGAGTTCATCTTTACGTTATTATAGTATAGTATATTATGCTGTATAATCTATATTTAATATACCTGTTATAGGGACGATATATAGATATAGTTATTACAATATATAGACGTTGATATATATTACCTAATTCTAGTATGTATTATGTACAGTGTTTACATATACTGCATCGACGATTAAGATGATATAAGCCGTTAAGTGTCCACTGCTGAATATGGGCCTCCCTTATAAGGAGTGTTGTGCCAGTAGTCGCCATGCTTGGCAGGCGAGTTGGCAATCGTAGTTCAGCTTTGGTAATATTTTAAGGGAGACGCTACTGCCCATCCCTCAACTATTAAATTCCCCTAGTCGCCTCTTATGACACCCACGTGAAAAAAAGGGGTGGCCTATTTCTATAATATTCCTCTTTACATTATGACGTCACTATGCCATGAATTTTACTTACTAATTTGAGTTAAATTTGAATAAGGAATAAGTTACACCCGCAACTTCGTCACCATCGCTCAGCCAATTAAATGTAACGTAATCTTCAAAAAATTCATAAGGACAAATTCACACGTAAATTGTAATATATATGTAATTCACTTGCACATCTACAATAGTAATAAGGACTAGCTGTATCCCATGGCTACAGTATATATATAAAGTATTCTATACTTTAAATTATGGTATAAACTATTCGTGTACCAAATTTAGAAAACTTTCTTTCCTTAGAAACTTTCTTTATAAAAATAGTAGATATAAGGATTCTGTGATTAAGTTACCTCCCACATCTACTACTTAGGACTTACCTACCAAACTAATATTAGTTCCAATAAAAAGTTTTAGGTTAAGTATAAATTTATTGTTACTATTATGTATACATTAATAAAACAAAGAAACACAACAATGGACAACAAATATACAAAGGCGAGCAACTTTGCAAGTATTCTCTTCCAAACCCACAGTGAAAAGAAGCATCAATAGTTTACTTATACAATATAGCTTTATAAGATCTAAGAGCATCGAGACGACGCGTGGTCCATTTAGTAATTTACGAGTATATCCAAGACTAAGTACGATTTGGGTTCGCTTGAAGGCCTCGAAGTCGCCAAAATTTTATGCGAATCTGTTGTCAGAATGCCAATCACTGAGTGAAACACAATATACTATATGTCAAACACATATAGAATATCAAGTATACAAAACATGTTTATTAATTTCAATATCAAAAGATCATGATGATGATAAGATATTTATTTAAGTTTTAATGATTTAATGAAGTTATGAGTATACCTATAAGTTCATGTATTCGGGATTATCATTTTTGAATAAGATGTTCATATTATTTTATGGATGAAAATGAAATGCTATCTATTCGCCTGTGGTATCGGTATACACTTGCGGGGCAGCAGTGAAGGATAAAATGACGAGCATAATATATAGTCAATTGACCTACTGCACCGTGGAGAATTCATTAGGAATTAACTACGATTGTTTCTAGACAGGACCGCGTAAAGGTCGTCTATGACAATGGAGATTAGCGTTCATAACACCCTCACCCCGCGGAATAGTGGTGACGGGCTATATGCTATTACTCCTTATCATCTCTTGTATATCGTAAAAGTAAACTAGGAAAATAAAGCATAGTATCTCGGTGCAAGAAATAAATAAATCTCAAAATAAACCCTACATATAGTGGTCTAGCCAGCGTGGCAATAATATGTTAATATGCTTTTCATATCGAGAGACCTGTCCTCACCAATAAAGACGTTTTAATATAAGTTATTTTATGGTACTGTACTCGCAACATTTGATGTACTTAATGGATTATTAAATTCGTTAAGCTACTATCCGTATCGTAATGATGGTATGACCGCATCCCTGCTATTATGCTGTATTGGCATCACAGTTAATGACAATATTTTCATCGTGTTTAAAATTAACAAATATTGTCTAGATTTGCGCATTTTTTTTTATATCACAAAGATGTCAAACATTACAGCCCGTCTGACAGTAAGCAGTCACTGCAGCCCATAATTATCCGTATAACCACGTCCTAATAATATTCATACTATTTACGAATTCTTAGACGTTAATTGTGGAACCCTCGCTGTTATCAAACTTAATTAGGTAAGATAAAGCTGTTTTGTCCGCATAAATATTGAAACAAAGTAGTCTACTTTAGATATAGAAGGATCGTCGGCCCAGTAGGTTTTATATGCAACTTCGAATGACAAACAAGCTTACGGCCCTCCTCTTGTAAAGTGGAGAATTAGTAACTGTGGCATATAAACATTATTAACACCATTAACATCACAGACTACACTGTGTCGCTTATAGTATACCCCTTATGTTGTCCTTCTGAGGACCAAAATTAGTTATGCAGCAGCTGTACAGCTGATTAACGGTAGAAATATGAATGAGACCGAGGAAACTAAGTAAACAATTTTGTACAGTCTCCAGTAGTTTCGTTAAATAAGGCTCTTACATTATAAACAAACAAAACTTCTTTATATATAAGACAAGTTATGACCCACGGCTTTATCAGCTTGAATTAGTATATAAAGTGTCCTGTGAGTTAAGTTAAAATCAATCACACGTGTACAAAATTTCATTAAAATCCGTTTAAACATTTATGCGTGATTGAATAACAAACATCCAAATAAATAAAAATTAAGTGCAAATAAAATTCGTGTGACAACTGGTCTGCTCAATCACGTCACTCCAATAATGACTATGTACGTAAGTACCTACGTAGTACTTCTGCTAGAATCATCGCAGAGGTACTAATCTATTTTGTGATAGAAGATCAAAGGCGAGGCTTCATTTTCATCTGTATTATAGATTACATCATTAATCTTAGTGCCTCAATTTGATATGCTACAATGACTTCTATCAGAAGCTATTACTAAGCTGTGTACTATA